GTCCCGTCCGGTCCGCGCGCGCCGCACCCCGACAGTCCAGCCGCAGCCGGCGTGGAGGGCGCGCGTCCCGCCGAGGTAGGTGGGGCGCGGGGCGGCAGGCAGGAGGGGGGAGTCGGGGCGCCGGCCGAAGGACAGGGGGTGCAGGCCGCGCTCATCTACCCCGGGGCTGGGGTGCTTCAGGGCAGGACAGGGAAGGAAGTGCCCACCCCGACGCGGCGGCCCAGAGACAGCAAATTAACTTTTTTCTCCCCTTCTCTTACTGGAGACTGGCAGGTCCCACATGGGCCCAGGGTAGGTGCTCACTCCACCCGGGTGTCCCCAGGGCACAGTTCTGACGGGGAGCAGCGGAGGATGGTGGCTATCAGATCTCCCCGCTAGAGGAGGGTGTTGGGTAGGTTTTCCAGAGAAGTGTGTAGAAGCCTGGCGACTGGTAGGGCTGGTGCGCTGCACCCATCTAAGGTTTGCAAAGAAGGTTGGGAAGAAAACGCCCTCCCGCTGGGCTGGGCAGGGCCTGCTGTTCGAGCCACAGTTCATCTGGGGAATGGAGAGTCCCTGATTTCCTTCTATTCCCGGCAGCCACCTGCTTTCTCACCTCCCAAGGCAGGCCTTTCCTCGGGAAGCTCTCCTGACCTCACACACAGCCCTAGGGCTCTGCTGCCGCTGTGACCTCTTCCCCACAGTCCCTGAGAAGGGCCTTGTGTTTGCCACTCTAGCCCAGGGGTTTCCTAACACCACCACAGGCAAGGACAGGGCCACACCCCAAGCTCAGGTGGCATGGTCCTTTCAGTCCACAAAAGAGTTTGAATTGAAGGCTGTCCCCAGTCTGGAAGACAGAGAGGAGAGGGGACAGCAGAGGGGCAGTGGGGAAGGGGTGTCTGTCTCAGCCTTTATTTCCTGTGGATGACCCCAAGAATGAGGGCCTGGGCTGCCCAGGTCAGGGTAGAGCAGGAGCACAGAGAGCTGAGGGGTGTAGTGCAGGTGTTGGGAAGAAGGAAGAGAGGCTGGGGGAGCTCCAGGTGTGGGAGCAGATTTGTGCCGTGTGCCCATGAGGGTGTTCCTGCGGGAAAGGCTGGACATGCTGCCATGTGACAGCATTTAACATGGATGTCACACCTCCAGGCTGTCTCTGGAGCAGGACCCATCTAATTAAAAAAGTCTCAGCCGTTTGGTGGGAATGGGACAACCTGGAAGGTGTGTGTGTGTGATGCCTGCTCAGGGGGTCTGCGCCTTAGCTCAGTTCTTTAAGTGGCTGCTTTAACAAAGCAGTTAGGCTCAGGTTGCTGTGGTTCGATCCCCACGATCCCCACGACTCAAGCCAGACAAACCTGCCCTGAAGGCATTTGGAGCAAAAAAAAAAAAAATTAAAAAATCCTTCTGTGATGCCTGCTCAGCCTACCCTGCCATAGCCATATATTCCAAAAACCCCAAGATCTTGAACTTTTATGGTAATTTTCATTGCTTCTATGTTGGCAACTGTCTTTGAAGCTTTTAAAAACAAGTTGAGAAAAGGAGGAAGTAGTGCCTATCCAGTCCGCTAACCACCATTCTCTAGCCACTGAGAGGAGGTTCAAGGCTGGGTCTGCACTACCTGGTTCCCCTCCACATCTTCCCATGATGGGCAGGAAGGGGAAGCCCTGTCACCTCTTGTGCCTTGACTTTTGTCTGGGCGTAGGCACAGGCAAGCCTGTCCCCACTGGGTTTGTCTGGATTTGGTAGCAGTCTGGTACATAAATTACAGGTGCCTGTTGTCTTGCCCCATGTGAGCCCTGTGTGCTGGACCTGTGGAGGCAGGGAGTAAGGGCTGGGCCTGGCCTTCCAGTGCCCATACCTGCCTGGGTAATGGTGCCCAAGGGAGGCCGAGTCTTCAGCTTGCATTGTGTAGCATGTGGGTGTGGTGCCTATGCCCCGAGGCAGCAAGAAAGTCATTTCCCCTGGAACCGGTCCTCGCCTGACTCAGGACTCCTTTCTGAGCCCCTGCCCTGGTAGGACGCCTTCCCCTACTGCCTCTGCCCACGGATCTGTCTGTGGCTCTGTATCTGTGGCTGTATCTCCCTGGGGGCCCATGCCTTAATGGAAGGGGACAGTGCCTTCCAGCCCTGTATCTGAGCAGAGCTCTCCAGCATTGCAGGGGACCTGGGCCCCCAGGCTCTGGGGCTGCCCAGGGGCTGAGAAAGCGTGAAGGAAGAGGGCCAGTGAACATGGTCTGAGAGAGAAGCGACCCTAGAAAGAGGTCAGCCCTGGCCTGCTGCTCTGCAGGCCCCAAGTAGACAGCTACTTTCTTTGCCAAGGCTTCAGACCACCCACTCATTGAAAGGCCTCCTGGATCCCCAGGCCCTTTCTGGAGGTCAATAATGAGTTGAAATGGTTCACAACTTAATCAGAGCCCACCAGGGGATCTTGGCAGCCGCCACTATGCATGGGAATGGGTGGAATATTCTGGGCCAAACTGTTGGGAGTTCCTGAAAATCCAACTCTGAGGCAGATACAAGGAGGGGGAGGGGCAGGGGCCCAGACCCCACCCTAATGGGCCAGTGGGAAGCAGTGCCTGCCCAATACAGTGAGCCCCTGGTCCTATCCCCACAACCTAAGTACTGAGGTAGGACCTCTCTCCTTCAGGCCATGCATGCTCATAAAGGGCAAATGGAGCGAGACAATCATGGTACATGCCTGTGACCCCAGCACTCAGGAGGCTGAGGCAGGAGGCTCACTGAGAGTTCAAGGTCATTGTGGGCTACATACTGAGTTCTAGGCCAGCCCAAACTGCAAAGCAAGACCCTGGCTCAAAAAATTAAAATTTTAGGGACAGGGAGATAGCTCGGTGGAATAAGTGCTTGCCTGGAAAGTGCAAGGTCCTGAGTTTAATCCCTGGTACAAAAAAAAAAAAAAAAAAAATTTAAAGGGCAAATAGCCAGATGGCAGAACCAGGGCTCCTCTCCAGGTAGCTTCTCTATTGGGTGTTCTCATGACTACCATGACTACCAAGCCTGACCCAGACCCACTGGGGTCTGAAGGGCAAAGGCAAAATGAGCCCTGCCCTGCTTCTGGGAGACCAGTGCAAAGGACCTGGCCTTGGGGCAGGCTGGAAGCCCAGAGCCCTCATAGGCCGGAGAGGGCCTCTCTGCCCAGAGTACAAGTGTATGGGCATCAACCCTTTAGGAATGGTGGGAAGGGGCAGTGGAGAAGGCAGGGGTCGTGTCCCTGGGCTCTGCCTCTCACAGCAAGCAGCCTTGGTGCCTACCCCTGCTCTCAGAGCCTGTTTCCACACCTCATCTCTTCTGTGGTGCTGGTGGGGATCCTGTGAGCTCATGGTGCCAACCAGAGCTGTAGGAGAGTCATGCATCTCTTGCTCTGGTTCTGCAGGAGGAAAAGGATGGCTGGGCCATGTCCCGGCCGGTGGGTCACACTGCTGCTGGCATTCCTGCTGAGTGTCGGCCTTCCAGGGACCATAGGTAAGTCCACAGCTTTACACTGCCTTTGGGTGGAGATACTATTTTCAGGGCTTTGCTGTCACACCAGACCTCTCGCAGATCCTCTGCCACTGAACAAAGAACCACTGCGCACCAGGGCTGGTAAAGTTGAGGCTCTCAGCTATCAGCTATCCAAGGAAAGGAGACAGACTAGAGGAAGGGAGAGAAGATCATCTGCTCAGAGAGCCAAGACCTCGGGGGAACCTCTGTGGAGGTCACAATAGAGCTGGAAGTTTTACAGAAACTGGAAGGAGAGACTGCAGCTGTATCACCGGCTCTCTGAATGTTCCCTCTTGGCAAACGGCTGGAGCCAGCTCCTACCAAATAAATTTTCCCTCTCTAGCTGATTTTGGTGGTTTGTGCCTATAGCTCCAGTCAGTGGGGAGGTAGGAGGATCGCTTGAGCCCAGGAGTTCAAGGCCAGCCTGGGCAGCACAGCCAGACTTCATCTTAAAAACAAAACTAGACTGAGGCAGGATGATCATAAGTTCAAGCCCAGTCTGGGCAACGTAGTGACTTAAGGAGACCTGTGTCAAAGTGAAAATTACAGAAGGGCTTGGGATGTAGCTCAGTGTGAAGGTCCTGGGTTCAATCCCCAGTACCACATGCACGCTAGTGTATACCTGAGCTACATAATAAGGCCCTGTCTCAATAAAACATAAATAAAATAAGACAAAATCTCCCTGTCAGTTAGATTATGTTGATAGCTCAGAACAGACAATGGTGGGAAACATAGAAGGCTTTCCCTCATCTCACCAGAGCTGTTGTTAAACATTAGTGCCCCATTGCCTGGAGCCCAGAAAACCATGCTTGGTGCACACAGTAGGCCTCACTGTGATTCTAACCAATCAGAACCAAGGGGCTGGGCCAGGGATATAGCTCAGCAGCACAGTGCCTGCCTGAGGTCTTGAGTTCCATTCCTGG